TCTATAACTGGATGTGTCACATGGAGTGGACTCTGTGGTAGGTTTGCTTATTCGAGTTTGGTAAATACTTTTTAAATTTTTTATTTATTTATTTATTTATTTTTGTCTTTTTTGAGACAGGGTCTCCTTGTAGCTCCAGCTGTCTCGGAACTCACTATGTAGAACAGGCTGGCCTCGAACTCATAAAGATCCACCTGCCTCTGCCTCCCAAGTGCTGGGATTAAAGTTGTGCACCACCATGCCCGGCGGTAAATACTTTTTAATACATAATATTTTGATTAAATCTTGGTAAATGTTAGTGGTAATATTGTAGTGAGTTTGAAACTAGAAGCTGGGTCTTCACAGTGATGCATATACTGAGGCTGAATGGTAAGGTCACTTGTCTTTCTTAGACTTCACTGTGGTCTTCCCAGTAGATTTGCAGACAGTATTGTGTGTCTTCCATACCTAGTGTAAGAAGGAGCTCAGTGCTCCCTGAGACTCAAGGACTCCAGTGAGACTGAAGTGATCTAATGGAGCTATTTTTCCAAAATAGTTTTTAAAATAATATGATTTACAGGTTTTTTTTCCAGTGAAAATGAATGCTTTACAAATAAGTTTAAAAAATACGTTTTAAAATATATTCTAACAAAAACAAAACTAAAACATGTCCTCAATCCTTTTGGATTTTGTGGGAATAAAAGTAAAAATGTTTCCCCCACCCCATCCCTGTCCATATCCTACTCCTTCTGTCCTTTCCTTTTCCTTCTTCATCCCTGCAAAATGTGTTCTCTCTGGGAAGGATGGGTGATAAGGCCTATGGTGCTCTGGGCTTAGTAGAATGCTTGTCACAGCTAGCCAGCCTAACCCTAACTGAAGGTGCTGGTGGAAACAAAGGTAAGTGTCTTCTTTGGTTCTCTTTAAGTCTAATATAATACATTATCATTTGCGCATGTATTTACCAAATCATATAGATGTATAATTGTACGCACCTTTCACTGTATCTTTCTGTGAGTTTTATTCTAAAGGTTTGGTGCTTTTGATGATCATATTTTTAATGCATTGAAGGATCTTTTTTTTAATGCATATGAAACATGGTTCCAAAGAAACTAAGTTACTGTTTTACCTTTTTGCACAAATAGTAAAAATTTCAGGTAAAAAAAAGTCTTGCTGGCTTCCCCTACCCCACCTAACCTCACGCACTTTTGGAAACAACACTTTGTGGCAGATGGAAGGAATTTCCACTCCTGTATATGAGCAAAACCAACTGGTTTAGGTTAATTTGGTCAGGCCATAGAAATATGACGATGAGATGTGTATATCTGGGGTATTTTTGATGGTTGTATGGCTCCTGGGAGAAATAACAAATTCATATAATCACTCTGTCTTCTAAAAATCCTGGATAGATTAAGATAAATAAAATCCAAAGTCCACCTTGCACAGGACTACCCAGAGAGGGGAGAATTTTCTGATACCTAAGTGTCATCTTCCTCCAAGCAATCAACAGTACTTTTCATTCTAATAATTTGGATTTATTGTTAGCTCTGGTTTCTTAAAGAAATAAGTTATCTATATGATAACTTCAGGAAGCTGAGAAAATAATATGTTCAGTGATTTTCAGTCACAATTCCTTATTCTCTATTGACCATTCATCAGAGGATCAGGCCATCTTCCATGAGGCAAAGCTTTCCTCCAAAGAGTTAGTGCTAAGTGAGATTGTAGCAAGACTAGATGGAGGATGACTTGGCTGGTGTTTCTCCAAGCATTCATTAAAGGCTCTTTCTTCTTCAATAATAAGGAATTCAAAACTCCATTCTTACAAACTTCTGTATCCCAGAAGCCTTCACTTGTGATATTTTTTCTTTGTTTCAGGCATGACTGCTATTATCTTGGAAAATCAACTGATGAGAGTCAGATAATTAGTTTCCTCTGTTCAGCTGCAGCAGTGAACTCTGAATAGCCTAAGGAGAACCAAAGAGTTTTCTTGTGATCAATATTTATTGCATACACTATGGAAAAAGGGAAAATTCTTCAATGCATACATTCAATATATATCCAATTGCAGATCGTAATTATCTTAGTTATTAAAAAGAGAAAAGTGTCAGAACAGTTATGGATTTGAGATTGCTGGTTTTTTATTTCGTGGTAGTTCCATATTAAATTCCAACTTAAACAATGCCTGTCTCCTTTCTGTTTGGGACTCCTTCTGTGTATAATGAAGAGGTCTGTGTTCACTGATGCTTCACTGACTTTTTGATTGATTCTACCAGAATAAATCCTCCCTATACTAGGTCCTTCTGCTTTGAAAAGTCTACGTTTGTGGGTTTCAACTTTTGGCTTTCGTCTGACTCTTGCATCACTTATCAACTGAGTCTCCTTCATGGGCTACAGATTGGATTCTCCCCTCTTCTTTGTTTGCTCAGACTTCCGGCTGCATCTAAGCATCACTTTTCACTCACATGTGACTTGACCTTTATGCTTGATTAAGGATAAATACCATTGACTCTTCACTTGTAGAGACCAAGAGTTTTGGAAAAGCTCACTACTGAGGTTTATTAATTTGCTGTTTGAAGTTCCCGTTACATTTCCACAGTTTTAATTACCAAACATCACATTCAAAAGCTTTAAAGTCAAATGGCCAATTAAATATTTGTGTATAAATCTGACCACTGTGTACATTTCCAGAACACCGTAAATGCAGAAGTACCTGTAAAATGTTAGCACCTTTTAAAACACTTTGGGCAAAGATAAAGCATGTTTTACAAATCTGTAGTTCATATGATGCTTATGTAGCAATGTCCCCAAACTGACAGAATTTGTGCTCTTCATCCTCTCTCTTATCTTGTTTCCAATCATAAAAATTAAGTGATGCGCAAAAAATTGCCCAAAGAACAGATGCCACCTCGTAGGAGATGTTCTCAATAGCCTGTGTTTGTGACAGTTCTCTCTCTCTAGTCAATATTATCCACATCGGTCTTTGCTTTGTTCTCTCTTATTGAAGCATTTGCTTGGAGAATAAAGTAGATAAAAACACAAAAACACGAAGGCATATTTGTTTATTCTGAGAACATCTGTTCTTGTTATAAAAATACCCACATGATGTGGTCCATTTTCTTCCAGCACCCTCTCTCTGTGCTGCTGCAAAGGCGACTACATCAGTCTGAGGCTTGAGTCGAATGAACAGACATGTCTAATGAGTTGAAATGTAGGGGAAATCTCATGTTAGTATATATGTTCAAAGTAATATTGAAAGACAAACATAACAAAGAGAAGCTGATATTAAATAAAAATGGTTTATTAGAAAATTCTTTACCCAAAATTCATTGAACTCTTTTATACCATTGGGATCCAATTTGGGGCTTATTGGCACCAATTTGTTTAGTCGCTGAATGTTTAGAATTCTTATTCATTTGGGTTGCACTTTGGATGGTTAAAACATTCCTAAAATTCCTGAATTTAAAGTATTTGCCATAGATGCCTTCATTAAAATAAGTGTTTCCTCTCTAAAGTCTTTACATTCCAAGAGAAAAATTCTCCCAAACTTTACTTCCATAACTCCAGACAGCGGAACTAGGAACACTAGTTCCTCAAGAGTATAACTTCAGGGCTGGAGAGATGGCTCAGCAGTTAAGAGCACTAGCAGCCTTCCAGAGGACCCAGATTCAATTCCCAACACTCACGTGGCAGCTAACAGCCTTCTGTAATTCCAGTTCCAGAGGATCTGATGCCCTTTTCTGGCCTCTGTGGGCATTTCTTGCAATTAGTGCACTTGCATACATGCAAGTATAACACTCATACACATATAATAAAAATAAATGAATTAAATATTTAAATGGACAGCTTAAAACAACCTATACATAACTAAATCTCTGTTGGTACTATTATTTTCTTTCCGAAACATCCTATCTTAGCTTCCTCATAGATTTTAATCTTTTTCTCCAGTCATTTTCAAGGATAAAGTTGTCCATATATTGACTAATTTATTGAGAAATATGTAATCAGCAGCTTTCTGCACAGACTGAGTAATGCGTCTCAGAAGAAGAAAATGGGTCTAAGTTCTCTGCTTCTACATAGCCTTCCTTGTCTTGAAATTTAGTTCAGTGATGTCACACATTTAGAAGTCACATGACATTTTTCTTTTCTCTTTCTGACTGGATTGTTTTAATGTCTCAGTGTCTCTCTGACTTGCCATCTTTTGCTCCAAATGTAACAATTCCTTGATACCCCTGATCCTTCATCAGGGTTAAATTTATTTTCACCTTGAGCATCTTGAATAAGGATCTCTTGAGCCAACTTGATTTATTCCTTTGCCTTGAGGCACTTTACATAAAGCATTGTTTTGACCTGCCAAAGCTCAATTTTAGAATTTTGCGTTATTTCATTTTTTAGGTTCTTTAATTTTTTTTTTTTTTTGGAGGATGATGAACAAATGAGATAAGCCTGGGCCCTTTACATTACCTTCAGCAATATGATTCATAATGTTTAAACCCGTACATGATTTCTATTGTGATGCTGACTATTGTGATTGCTATGGTTGCTGAGTTCTGATAGGTCTGTGGGTTAATGGAAACACCAAGTTAAGGTAGTATACATTGCAGAGTTCTTTTCTCACCAAATTGGTAGATATTCTTTAAAAGCCAGACTGGTGCACTATGCTTAAAGAAACAAATGATTATATAAATGAAATTATGATGAATTTCTGATGTCTGAGACTTGAATAAATGACAGCTGACTACTGATTGCTACAAATATTCTATTTTAAGACATTGTATCTATGAATAAAGGAGGATACTTATTTCCTCTCTTAGGAATGGTTGTCTTTTATGCTTGAGCTGAGATGTCTGCTTTTGAAGACAACTTTGGAGGGTCTGATAGGACCAGTGGAAGCAGGATGAGCTCAGGGACAGATATGACCCTCAGCTGTCCTGGGTCATGTGCACCAGTGTGACTTTGACAACCTTGATGCTGTAAGCAGTGTTTTGAGAACTTGTTCTAAATTTTGACCCTTACCGCGTTCTTAGGCAAAGGACCTGAGACCCTGTATGCGGGGCAGAAGCTGAATGACAACGAGTGGCACACGGTCCGCGTGGTGCGGAGAGGAAAGAGCCTTAAACTAACTGTGGATGACGATGTGGCTGAGGGTGAGTGCAACTGTGAGCTTCGTCTCTGCTCTCTCTGTCTTCTCTTCCACTCCCTTTTGGAAATGTTCTGTTTTTCTTAGTGGGAATCACAAATCCTGTTCTCCATGGACAAACACAGACAAGACTAAGAAATTACCCTTCCTTTGTACTTTGTAATCATTTTTCTTCAGTATGTATTAGACCATTCACCCATTACTGTACTTATATGCTTATGGGATTATCTCCTTAGGCATAGAGTCTATGTCTTGAGAACAGATGGAATGCTGTACAGATCCCTGTATTATTAATAATTCAAAATCACTGTCCTGATCTTCCATGTCCCAGCTCTTTCCACTAGGCAATGAATCACTTTTTAGTAGAGGATTGTGGACAGTCCAGAAATTCAGAATATTACAGGGGACATAGTAAATACTAAAATGGTAGATGGTAGAAGGTGCTAGACAGGTTTGATTGAATTAGCTGTTCATTTATTTAATTGTTATTCATTGACTACCTATTGTGCACTAAGTACTATTGTGAGCAAAACCGGGCATATAGTGATGCACAAATAGGCCATCCCCTGCAGCATAGAATTTCTCTTTAGGAGGGCAATGTGTAAGGCATGAATCATGAATACGTAAAGGTATACCTAGAATTGTACAACCTTTAAGTATTTCTTGCCGGCTTGTTTTATGTCAGCAATGTGCAAAAATAGAAGATAAAAAGGGAGCACAGAAATGACCCGTTTCCTCAAATACTGAATCGCTTTAGTAGATTAGAAGGGGTTCTGGTATTTGAAAACAGCATAAGAACATACCCTTGGATTCTGATGTAGGTGGGTGGGATTATAATTGTCAGTCAGATGAGAAATTAGAAGTCATGGATGAAGACAGATCTTCAATCAGAATTTGATGGGTAGCTGTCATTGATCTTCTGATGAGACAGTCAGCGACATCAGTGATTATAAGTCTGCAGTCTAGCATGCAGTGTGCTGAATTCACATCCTTATAGAAAAAAAGGTGACACAGGGAGTTACGTGGGATTCTGTTGGTGTCTGATCTGGCCTTGACGTTTGCATTCTGCAGGGTATTGGGAGAGCCACTGGCCATTCCTGAGCCTTGTCAAATAGAGTCAGTGGCCTCAGATGTCTACACAGTGTCTTCTGTGAACAAGGCAGTTAGGGTAGTCAGAAGCTTTGGGCTTAATACAATCATCACCTGTAAATTGCTTTATGCCTTTTGGATAGATATACTAAATCTCCTTTTCTTCATTTCCTAATCTTTAAACTTGAACTTCTGGTATTTCTAAAGCCCTTTCCATCATAAATGTTCTATGAAAGTGGGTCCTAAAATTTAAATTTATATTTATGAGCCTGTGCTTCAGTGTTTCTAGATCCTGTAATTTTTTTTTTGTGTGTGTGTGTGTGTGTGTGTGTGTGTGTGTGTGTGTATGTAGAAAGACAGTCCAGACAGAGGAACTCAGCATATATCCAATCAGCATTAGATGCTGCGTTAGCTGTCTTATGCATATCAATTCCTTTAATCGTCTATAATTCAACATGTTCTTTCAAAATAAATGTTCTTACTGTCATTTTACAGAAGAGGAATGGGGAAGTTCCAGTTGTATAATTAAGCTTCAAATCCACATCTGTGTGATTCCACAGAATGAAGCTGCTCACTGCACTTCCCAATCCGTCAAAAGAAAATGATTTCTCTTCAAGCGTAGGCAAAACATAGTGGAGGTGGTTAGGGTGAAGTGGGGGTCGACTATGACACTCTGTCTCTTTCCTTCTAGAAAAAGAAGGCACACAGAGTCATTCCACCTCTCCAATACACTCCAATTTCACACAGACAGCTCAGTCATGGGAGGTAGTTACTGATCTGCAGGCCTGCAGGGTAACTTAACTGCATGAAATGAATGTAAAACCTGAGGTGCAAAAAAGTATGCTGTTTAGAACTGACTTTCAACCTACATTAATTATTCAAGAACTCCTTATGAGCTGTGGGGGAGACAGGAGGCTGCAGATGCTGTGGTAGTTATTTGCACTTCCTTTACTAATTCCTCTGGATTTGGCTGGGTAAACCCCAGGAGGATGCAATTTACAGCCTGTTTTGAATAGTGGCCACTAGGTGGCACTCTCACCCCAATCTCTTCCAGCAGCGCTTTTCTTTCATGTCCCTTGGAAAACACAGGCCCTAAGAGCTATTAAAGAACTACAGAACTGAGGGTACAGTAATCCCTTTTATAGAACCTTTAGAATAAAGGCAATTATAAATAGTGCTTTCTGCTACCACTAATAATTAAAAGCAGGGCTGAGCCGTGGAATGCCCAAGCCATCCAGTAATTTGATTTGAAATTGAGGATCTTTCACTTCCTACCTCACTGCTGATGGAAAAGAGAAGCCGTAAGGATAGAGAAATTTCAGAGAAGAAAATAGTTATTTTGCTTGTGGGCTATAACCCTGGGTTGTCCTTTTACAGTGGAAAGAGATTTGGGAATTTTAATTTTAGTTCAGAGAAATTATAAAATGAGGCAGTGAAACTAAAATACATGTGGTCCCCAGGTTATTAAGTGGTGTCTTGTTGGCTTGCTTAGTAATCCCTTTCACGCTGTTTAAGGTACCCCCGTGTGCCAAATTTCTAACTAGTTCATAGAAATGATATAAAGAATAGGCCAGGCTCACAGAAAACCAAAGGCAAAGAAAGAAAATTCTCCAACCTGGTGTTTTTCATTTATTATCCTATAATTGTGTTCTTAGAAAAGTATTACGTTCAGTTGACAGTTAATAAGGACTGATGGATTGATTGGGCTGAATTTATGTTCTTTAGAACAAGTTAAAATAATATCTTACTGGGTTATGCTCTCCAGAATAGGGACCTAATGCTCTCAAACCATGCACTCTGGCCAGAATGTCTTGCTGTATCAAAATTCAGCCCTCTTTTCACTACTCTAGTCCAAAGTGATGTCTACCTCCCCCACCTCAGCTGTGAAAAATAAAAGAATTGATTTTTCAACATTTTCCACTAAAAGCTTATTTCTTATACTAATAAAATTTGATAAACAAGAACAAGAAATGGTAGGTCAAAAAAATTGAAAGTTCCTTATCATGAGACTTAGTAGGCGCCTCTAATAAGCTTATGTACATAGCTAATTATCAGTAATTAACTATACACTACTTGCCAAATATATTTGACTTCAGAAACTTTTTAAAATAAAACATTCTCAATTATTTTATTTTTTATTTTATGTGTATGAATGTTCCACCTGCATGTATGTAAGTGTGCTCATGTTATACAAAGGTCACAGAGGCCAGAGAGAATATCAGATCCTTTGAAACTGGAGTTATGAATGGTTGTTAGCCACCATGTGGATACTGAGAATTAAGCTCATGTCTTCTGGAAGAGCAGCCAGTGCTCTTAACCACCAAGTCATCTCTCCAGCCCCTAAAATAAAACATTTTATAACATACACTTTTGAAAAATACTGATACTGGTTTGGAACCAATAAATCTAAAGAAATCCTTAATTGAGACTTTATAAGCCTTCTTAACTTTTTTCCCCGTGATTGAGAGCCATATGGGATCTAGGGGCTTCCTCTCAGTATTTCCTATTGTTTTTTGTTGCTGTTATTATTTGACTAAGCTTTTAGTGTTAGCCAGCAACCACATATGAAAAACCCTGAGCCTCTAGTGAATGTCTCAAGTGTGAGCTCTTCTTCCCATACCTAACTCGTGCTTGCTGAACTTGGCTTCTCCTGTATGCCTTGGGACGCCCAAAAGGCACTAGAGTGGTCTGTGTGTAAAATGAGCTTACTTGTGACATAATTGGACAATGACTAAAACATTTCAAAGGAAGGAAAATAGTGACTGCAGCACAATTTGTAATTCTTATTGACTGAGGCTCTAGGCATTGTTCTAAAGCTTTGTATGTGTTGATACCTATAACCCTGACAAGTTCATACTCATTTCACAAATGGAAACTGGATGTTTAAAATTAAGCGACACACCCAAGGCAACAGTGAGGAATTCACAGAGCTGGAATACAAACCAGGTAGTATAGCCCCAGAGTCTGTGTGCCCATTTGCTATGTGCTGTGGCCTCATGGGAGATTATAGCTCACAGGAGATTTGGCCATAGTCCTCCTAGGTTTATGTTCTTCATCACTCTGAGGAGTGGTCTGTAGACAGCTTGTCACCTGTCAATGAAATATGAAAGTGTACCTGTTATTAGGGGGTAAGGCAACATGGCTGCTTTAGAAAGATGCCCAACCTACTACCCTGAATAAGACTGACTGATATTGTGATACGAAGTCATGAAGCATGGACTCTATCACAGCTTCTGCAGGGCAATTGCCCCAGATCAATTCCACCTACTTCTTTTTCTAGACAATGATATGGAGTATAAGTCCACTTTTATCAAAGATACTGCAGTGTACACATAACTACAAGGGCTGTGGGATATGTGCACCTGAATTCGGTCTGAGGGCCTGCCATTTACCACCTGTTGGAATTGTTGATCAAACTGCTTCACCTCTGAACACTAATTGCCCCTACTCCTAAGGCAGCATAATGATGTCCTGGACAATTTTATAATAGTAGAGACATTTGTTATACTTAGAGAGCTTAGCACAGGGCCTTGCATATGGGAAATAGTCAGTTTGGTTTTTCTTCATCTTTCACTCAAATCACTTATCTTCCCTCTGAAATTTGACAGCAGCTGCCACGAAGTATGCATACATTTGCCAATAAGCAAAAGCAAATGTGCTCCGCACATAAAATATCCAGTATGTAGTTCCCAGTTACTAATGCAGGTTAGATGACACATAGATTTGTTTTGTAATACTTGGTTAGTTTGGTGGAAGTTTCATATGGTAAGCAGATTTTCTCATGCTTTTACCAGTCAGTAGTGTAGCTGTTTTATTTTGTTTGTTGTTGAATCTATATCATAGATGAATGACTTCTTTTAACAAATAGCCCAGCCAATTCCTTTCTAATTTGGGTCCACGTTTCCTGATCTCCTCCTTTTGCAGATTTATACCCTAAAACCATCTGTGATCTTGTGCTACCTTCTTGAATTCCTTTGTTAGTTTCTCTTCTGCTTATCTACTGTCTTGTCCAGCCTCTTTTATCTCAATAAATACCATTAAATATGTATACATATATATACATATATGTGTATATATATGTATATATTTCAGAAAATTGATTTTTCTAGAGAGCAAAATTTCCTCAGTCTTCAGTCCTGAAGATGAACCTACCTAAGAGTTCTCTAAAAGCTCCTCTTTGGATTTGAATTTGTGTCTATGATTCCTTTTGGAGGCCAGAGACCACACTTTGGCTCACAAACGATCACCATTTTCACTGAGCACTTCTCACTGTGGCTTTCTGTGTGGACATTTTGAATCGGTGTGACTGGTGGCATCACTGCTCTGCAGTTCCTCTGATGCCCTGACATGGGCTATGGTCCTTTTCCCATACTCCTCAGACCAGTTCCTCCCTACTCCCAGGCCTGCTGTGAACAGCTGGAGCCAACTTGGGATTGGGTGTTTATTTCAGAGACTTTACTGTTTTATAGTATGTGAATGTAGGCTGTGTGAATTTGAAATTTTATGACCAGTACAATTTTCAACTTTTAATAATTTCATACATTAATTCTTTTTCCTGGTTATTCAATTACTAACAGATTTATGTTGCATTTTATTTTGTTCTGACTATAATTTATGTATTTAATGAACATCATTAGTTTATTTTTGCTTATATTAAATGAATAATTTGACACTAGTTGTCAAAACACCACTAAGAAGCTCATCAAATGTAAGTCTGATTTTTGTGCTCATTTACAACACTGTGTATCAGTTCTCAGATTGCTTCTGAGAGGTTGAAATCTATATTTAACATCCAAGAATATGGATAGTTTTTTCAGACATGGTTGAGTCTCTTAAAGTTAAGTTTTCTAAGAAAATATGTCGTTTTTATTGGTGATGAGTCTAATATTAAAAAAATGGCTTAGATGGACTGGACTTCAGAAATAGAATTGTTCGCATGAATCTAATTCAGGGTTAGGCAGGCCTTCTCCACCAAAGCAAGACTGGCTTCCCTGGCACGGATGCTGATGAGTGGAGTGGACTAGGGATTTCACAAGCTACTGTGCTCTAGCCAGGAGAAATAGGAAGTTTAAAGGGTTGAAAGACCTGAATGCAGGTCCCCTCGCCCTGTAGACTATCCTTAAACTTCTAGACTGTATCACCCTTTTTCTTCTGGAAAGTTCTACAAGTGATGTAAAGGGATTCTAGTCATGCCTTGTCCCCCAAGTTTCTTAAACCGGAGGAAGAAGAAGGCAGGGAGTTTTCCTTGGCAGATAATGTTACCCTTGGTTTAATTATTAACGTTTCCATTTCTGTATTTATTTCCAACACTTCCCACTTATCACCTATGCTCTTACCATGTCTACATAAAAAAGAGTCAATGTCTGTCATTGTCTAACGGGTGGAACTCTCTTGATTGCAAATGCCAGAAACCCAACTCAAAAGAGCTCTCCATATGAGAGGAAATCTCCAGCTATGTAGCTTTCAAGAGTCCAGATTTTCCATGACTGGATGTACCCCCCCCCCCAAATGATGAATGTTTTCTTCTATTTTCTCCAAACCTTTGAGTTTGGTGTTCTTTCAGGTAGATTCAGTGCCCTTTGGTTATTGTGTGTCCTCTAAGAACTGTTAACTTTCTTCTAAAGTCTTTAACGAGACTTGCTTGCAATATGATTTTCGATAGTGTGCCAGCTTAGGTAGTTGCTAACCAGGCATTCTGAAGCATGAGTTTCTAGGTCGGTCAGGTGTGCATTGCTAGATCAGGAGCTTACCCCTCACAGATCAAGCTACACCCCCTACAGCCTGTTTACTCTCACAGTTGCAGAGAGGAATTGGCAGGCGACCTGTGACCCTGAAATCTGTCCTGCTTCCCCTGCTGCCCAAGAATCATAGACACATACTATAAAGTATTCCTTAACTACATAGCATGGGACATTTCCCCATCCCTTTGAAAACTTCAAGAAGGAGAACTCATGTCTCTGGTGTTAACAACTCTCCTGATAAGCATCTTGCTTTTCACAATTCATCTTAACACCTTTCTTTTGAACTTCCATTTTCATACCTAAAATTTGTCTAACAATTGGTCACCTTGGAACTTGTTAGAAATGCAGATTTTCAAGCCTCTCCTTTTACTTACAAACTAAAAGGAGTGAGTATGGGTGATTCAGATGCATAACTATCTTTGAAGGTCACAGTTTTACCCTTCAAATCAAAGTCTATGATTATGTGGATAGAGAGATATCCATAGTATGACCTGATTAGGATCAGCTTTATCCATTCCACACGGTTCAAATGTAATGGGTAGTTTCCAAAAGGAAAAGTAGGTGTTATTACTAGAAAATCATTACCACTTGTTGATATGTAAAATCAACAGATGTTCTACAAAAGAAACATTTTCATAACTACTAGGTCGTAAGTTATTACAGCAAGAAATACTCTCTAACAAATGTCTAACACTTATTGATTTTTATCTTTACAAGGGTCAGGGAGATAAAGACTTTCTTATGATTTGTATTCATAAGCCATTGTTTCTTGAGTGAAGAAAACTAATAAGTATGATCCTTGAACTTGGGTTGCCTGTAAGCTCACATTTTTCTTCCTGTGATACTGCAGTCTAATCAGCCAACTGAGAGCATAAGTCAGGAACATAACTTGTGTTAGTGTTGGTCAGTATTCAGCTTCCTGACTGAGGTCAGATCAGCTGTGTGCTATAAACTATCATGAATATTTTTTTTTCTAGAAAAGAACCCAGAAAACTGAACATTTTATGTTGAAACATGTTTTACCTATAAGATAGAGTGGAATTGCTATGACAAGACAGTGATTTTTCATGATTCTACCTCATTTCTGATTTTCATAGGTACGATGGTGGGGGACCATACCCGCCTGGAGTTCCACAATATCGAAACTGGTATCATGACTGAGAAGCGCTACATCTCTGTTGTCCCCTCCAGTTTCATTGGTCACCTGCAGAGCCTCATGTTTAATGGCTTGCTCTACATTGATTTGTGCAAAAATGGTGACATTGACTACTGTGAGCTGAAGGCTCGTTTTGGACTGAGGAACATCATTGCTGACCCTGTCACATTCAAGACCAAGAGCAGCTACCTGACCCTTGCCACCCTCCAGGCCTATACCTCCATGCATCTCTTCTTCCAGTTCAAGACCACTTCAGCTGATGGCTTCATTCTCTTCAATAGTGGGGATGGCAATGATTTCATTGCAGTTGAGCTCGTCAAGGGGTAAGTAGCAGAGGTCACGTAATTTATGCTGGGTGTCTTTGCTTAAGCCTCCTATAAATTACGGCCATGAACAAAACTGTCCATTTTATTCCCTGACTTCTATTCTTGCTAGTACCTTCACTGATAATAAAGATCCACAAAGTGATTAGGCTAGAAAGGAGAGAACTCCTAGGTGTATTTAATGAGATTTTACAAAGTCATTGCTACCCTGCATTAACTATGAAATGTAGCAAGTCCTTTGAAACTACTGGTGAAAAGCTCCCTCCTATAAGAGATGGCTGTGGCATCTGTTGCATCCATCTTTGGAGCATTACTAATTATAGCCAGCAAATATAGAATAAGGAATGAAATCTAGATACTTTCAACATTACTGTTAGTGGTACAATTCTTAAAATTGATCTTTCTCTCAGATATTCGGTGAACATGTCTTAAAAAGTAGTCAGCTAAGAACAAAGCCAGAAGATGTAGTTTGGTTGGTAGAATGCATATCTATAATGCACAAGGCCCTGGGTTCAATCTCAGCATTGCATACACCAGGTATGATGACACATATCTGTAAATCTAGCACTTGGAAAGTGAAAACAAGAAGACAAGGCGTTCAAGGCTAGCCTCAGCTACATAATGAATTCGAAGCCAATTCGACATAGGACCTTGTTTCAAAACAAACAATAACCAGATCAATAATTGATTGAATTTTACCATTATTTCCCCCCAGTATTTTGGAAGGGTCTAACTGTATGATTTCTTGACTCTAGTTAGTACTATGTAGTACTAAAGAAGTATATTTGGAGCTGGGTATGATCATAGACGCCTACAATTCCAGCACTAGAGAGGATTTGAAAGGAGGATTGTGAATTCCAAGTCAGCTTACATTATAATACAAGACCCTGCCTCACAAAAACAAAACAAACAAACAGATAGACTTTATGGGTCTATGGATATAGAATTTAACCAACGTGTGATGGACTACTTACTGACAATTCTTTTCATTGCTGTGTATGCCAGGACAGTATGGAAGATCTGAAGCCCCTTGCACTGGTTACATTAACACATTTCCATTAACCACTTCAGGAATCTGAAACGATTAGGTATTTCTTGTTCCTCATAGGTACATACACTATGTATTTGACCTTGGAAATGGTCCCAATGTGATCAAAGGCAACAGTGATCGCCCCCTGAATGACAACCAGTGGCACAATGTCGTTATCACTCGGGACAACAGTAACACCCACAGCCTGAAAGTGGATACCAAAGTGGTCACTCAGGTCATTAATGGTGCCAAAAATCTGGATTTGAAAGGTAATCCTTGTAAAAATTGTGTTCTTTAGAGTATAACTCCCAAGAGAAAGGCTGCCTCCACAGGGAAGCTCTGGGTTGGGTGTGCCAGCCATATTTTTGTATATTACCCATATTCCTTTAGAAAAGCATTAGATTATACCACAGTGCAGCTTATCAGCTTCTGTACAGACCTCTCTATGGACGGGGCCTCAAAGAATGCTTCACTTTCTCTGATAACATCAGGAATGTCTCTGTAGGGTCTGAGAGATAGGTGATAAAAGGCTTATGTCAAAATTCAGTTCTTTGCTGCCTGAGTGGCACTGGCAACAATTTCTTAGCCTTGTTCAGTAGTATATATTGATCAAAATGAGGACAATAGCTGCTTCTCTTGTTGTATGTTCTTAGGGTTTTAATGGCCTATCTGTAAAACCCTCAGCATGTTATTGGTAATGAACACACAAAAAGCACTCAAAAAATGTTGTTTTGTTAAAAAATGTTGTAACTCTTTACTTCATATAACAAGACAGAATCCACTTCATAGAATTGATATGGTAATTCAAATTTGTGAGATATTGGATACAAAATGAATGACCTACAAGGAATGTTGGGGTTTTCTTTTGATAACTTAGAGACTTTAATACTTTTTTACGTGACGCTCCCTATGGCTATGTCTTATCTACCAGGAGAGTCTACAGTGCCTTGGCCACATCCTTTCTTGATTCAATTTAATTCACTGTTTGCCTTCCTTTCTAGGTGACCTCTACATGGCTGGCCTGGCCCAAGGCATGTATAGCAACCTTCCAAAGCTTGTAGCTTCCCGAGATGGCTTTCAGGGCTGTCTGGCCTCTGTGGACTTGAACGGACGCTTGCCTGACCTCATCAATGATGCTCTCCATCGGAGTGGGCAGATTGAGCGTGGCTGTGAAGGTACAGCCTCTCTTTAAGCTACAGCCTTGCCACAAGCACCAAGCCTCCTTGCAGCTCTGCCAGTGTCCTTTCCCCAGTTTATCCATCCTTTGTCATTCCTATCTGCCATCCACCATTATGTCCCGAACAGTGTCGTCTTCTCACTGGTTGAATATGTCAGACGTAAGCTACAGCCTTGCCACAAGCACCAAGCCTCCTTGCAGCTCTGCCAGTGCCCTTTCCCCAGTTTATCCATCCTTTGTCATTCCTATCTGCCATCCAACATTATGTCCCGATCAGTGTCGTCTTCTCACTGGTTGAATATGTCAGACATGTGCCACAAGCTCCAGGAGTGTATGTTGGCAGATGTCCTTTTAGGATCACATACTTGCCAGTGAAGCACCTTTCCTGCATTGACATCAGATCACTCCCAGTTTGTGCCTTTGCTCCCACAATGACTGAAAAGGCACCAGAGACTTCTGTTTACATTTTAATAGTGGTAAGCAGAGAGCATGTATGGGTGCCATCATTAACAAAATACTTCATATTTGGTCAAATATTGGAATCTTTATTTAATGCAAATTCATCGGGAGACTGAGAACTGATGTCAGAATGCCTTAATGATGGAAGGGAACTTTCATTTATTGAGTACTTACTAGATCAGGCTTTGCTCGTCAGTCCCCTGATTGGCTGTAGAGCAACATCCTGGGTTCCCATGTTAGAAAAACATAGATAAAGGTCCAGGTGCCATCTGGCACTTCATAACAACTATGATCTATTTTTCTTTCTCTGTTAAATGGGGCAATGATACTTTCAGAGATCATATGACTAAACCAGAATGATTCAAAATGCCTGATACATAGTAGGTACTGGATAAACTTGGGATTATTGTTCATGAATGTTATCTCATGTGAAACATAATAGCGCTGCATGTCTACCCATGTGGCACAACAAGCCATGCTCAGCCTGTGTCTGTAGATGACTCACTGACTTTGGAGATGTTAACAGCATCAAGTCTTTCTGAAGCTGTTGATTAAAAGAAATCTAGTTTTATCTTGTAGAGGGCAGCGGGAAGCACATTCATGGTTCAGTAGTTGTCTTGAATTGGCTGAAAGGTGACTATAGCTAATCGACAGGCAAAGAAGCTGCCTAACTGGTCTCCAAAATCGACTTCTTCTTTCCTTTGGCTGAGCCTTATGGTCCTTTGTGCATTGTGTTATGTTTTATTGTGTTCTTTTTCATTTTCCACATCAAACCTGTTCATTCATCTCCTGTGTTCAACTTCATGGATCACTGTTTTTGAAGCAGCTTCCATCTGAGTTTACTCATCCGTTTAAAGCACGTTTTTGTATAAGCCTCTCTGGCTAACTTGCATTTGAAAAAAAAAGATGTTTCCCTTTGCCTGAGAGTCTGGTTATATGTGTTGTATTAGGGTCAGATGGATTATTCTATGGTCCACTCAATTTTTTTTCTAAATACTGTGTGTGTGTGTGTGTGTGTGTGTGTGTGTGTGTGTGTGTGTCACAAGGTTGGGAATCAGAACACACTTGAAATAGACATTTAGTGTTTTCCTAGAAATGCGAAGTTTCATTCAACTCAAACATTTATTTGGACTTACTGCCCTATTCTTAGCTCTTCAGATATTAAAAGGCAATGTGGGCATAAATGAAGCACTTAGGATTAAAACAAGAATCTTATTTTAGAAGGCTTTGGAATGACAAAAGTTGAACTTGTCCTAGAATGTACCATATCATTAAATTACAAGGTGAAATCACATATTGAAGAATACAAGACAGAACCAGAGAGATGGCTCTGTTGTTAAAAGCAGTCATGTTCTTTCAGAAGACCCAGGTTCAGTTTGTGTTCAAGTTCACCCATGTCAGGTGGCTGACAACCACCTGTAATTCTAGCTCCAGGGAATTCAGTGCCCACTTCTTGCCTTCAAAGGCACTCATGTGCACAAATACATACAAACATACACATAATAAAAATAAAGTCTTTTTTAAAAAAAAACCCCACAAGGTATGTTTCCAAATAGTAAATATTTTTTGTCATGGCATCAGTTACTCAGGTCAAAAAATTAAAAGGGGAATTCACTTCATTTTCAAATTACATGGCCCCATAGAAACATAGTTTAAGGTGCTGCCGAGAAGATGCATTAAAAGGTAAAGAGGATACCATGCAAGTGTGAGGACCAGAGTTAAGGTCCCCAACACACATGAAAATGCTAACTGGATGTGGCAGCTTACCTATAATACTAGAGATCAAGAGGCAGAAGTGAGATCCCTAGAGCAAGCTGCCTGGGCAGACTAGATGAACTGGCAACCTCTGGGTCCAAGTGAGAGACTGTGCCTCAATATGTAAGGTGGAGATTGAGGAAGACACCCTACCTCAACCTCTGACCTTCACATCCACCATGTATGTATAGATACCTTCCCACGCCTGTGCCACACATGAGTACACCTACATATACTCACACATACTACATACATATACATAAAACAAAATGTAGTATAAGTCGCACATGTAGTCTTTAATTCCTAATAGCTACATTTGAAAAAATGTATTAGGAAATTAATTTTGATTTTATATTTTATCTTGGTTAACTCCAAATATTAGCGTTTCAACATGTGTTTGACATAAAATTACCAATGGATATTTTATATTCATTTGATTGTGTTAAGTCTTCAAAACTGATTATGTATATTAGCCTTATAGCTCAATTTAGTTCACATTGTACACATTTAAAGGTTTCTGTTGCCCTGTGTGTATCTGGCTGCTCTGTTGAAGCACAGATCTATAGAATGTGAAACTTGGGGTTTTAAAGAAATAAAACTGTAGTATTGGATTTAAAGGAGGTTTAAACTAACTTTTACAAAATGTAGGGTTGGAAGGGAGGACTAGAACTCACTCAGGAGAGCTTTAGGAAAAACAGTGAGGGCACTCTCAGAAGAAAATTGCCCATCAATTTGGGGGAAATTTTTCAGCCCGCCCTGAAGCTCTGTGTCAGTTCAGTATGATTCACCACATGCATTATGGTGGACTCCAGCCTTTCTCTAAGTACTGTGATTGTTCAAAGCCGGATATTGTGACTTGATGGCTCTCCCTTCTGAATCTATGGCAAAGCCCGTGGGCCTAATCACATGCACTCTATTGCCATGGAGATAATTATGATGGTTGTCCATGGAGCATTAAGACTTCCCTTCTGGGTGGGATGAAGTGGAGGATGAATGCTGAGGGAGGGAAGAAGGTCCTTGTTTATTGTACACAAATGACTTCAATAATTAGCTTAAGTGGCCAGGAAAAATGCCCAAAAAGTGGGTTAAGGCATAAATTACTATCATTGGGGAAGTTTGCAGCATTGTGAATAAGCCCTCATAGAAGATTCTGGGAGTTTTTTTTAAGGCTCTGTGGAAATGACACTGTGGAAGAGTAGGGAGGAAAACGAAGAGCAGCAAACTGTGGAGAAGCTGTAGAAGATGCCATTGTTATTCTGAATCTCTTATACATGGCATGTGACTCTCAAGAGGGCCTTCTGGTAGGAGTGTAGGAAGCACAGGAAAGAAACCGTGAACTTGGTGTCCTCTCCATAGAGAATAGTAAACAGGTTGGGGATGAGATTTCATTACAAAAAACCAAGATCAGGGTCTATTAAAGACGGCTAATGAGTTTCATTCTTATATAGTTAGGCAGACAGTACGATTATTGTATGTTCTTGTCAATGCCATTGGGATTGTAGGTCAAGATTCCTAAGTAGTAAATGTATTATTTTCCCTATGCCTGCCACACAAAAAAGATCTAATAAGAAGTAAAGAGTGATAATTAAAATTTTATTAATATGATATTCTTTGGCTATTTTGTAGCAAAGAATGATCTTGAAGTAGGTTTGGTTTTATGTCTGTGTCTTAAAAATTAAGTGTAGTTTTTAGCCATCTTCTGACTTTGACTTTTATCCTCCTATTTGGGGCAATGGTTTCTTAAAATAATGCCTGACATAATGCTCAGCTGTCCTACATTGAGGTCAACTTTGATGCAGAGACTAAGGTATTTTTTATATAGCAATGCTATTCCACGATTGAGGAGGGTAACCATCTGAGAGAAAACATCACGTGCTTCATTTTAGAAATGGCATGAACCAATAAAAAGGACATTTGATTGGTGCCTTTTTGCCCACAAACATTTGGCTGTATTCTTAACAAACTGAACAGTTTAAAATCATTCATGTACCTCAATAAGTCACCTGGATAGAAATGCCCAGCTCAGATGCCATGTTCCTTAATGGCATTTTCAAGGGGTGCAAGGGGTGGGGCTCCCAAGTGACTCTTCCATCAACTCTTAAATGTTCCAAAGTATTTTTGTGGGCTCTGAATGTGCACACATGTCTTTCAGTCTGGCCACACTCTGCCCTTCTCTCTGGACCGTGCCTTGGGATTGGCTGTTTACGTGTGGAAAGGCTCTCGTTGCCCATTGCTTGTGCTTTGTCAAATTCATTGTTTCCCTACTCCTGCTCTGCTGACTTGGCTCCCAGGCTCCTGCTCTGCCCTGGTCTGTGCATCCCCTCATCTGTGCTGTCTCTGGTGACCTTGTAGAGCATTTCAGTTGTCTGTCTGAGTGATGCTGGTTATGTAGACTGCATTTTCTTTTCTGTATTGTTACCCAGTTGACTCTACTAACTAACCTCTGCTTATTGTTTTCGCTTCTTTTGTTCTTTTGCTAACAAAGTTGCGTTGACCAAAGCTGACCTGCAAGGTAGAGAAGGCTCTTGTTCCCATTACCACTTTGGACTGAAAGATGCCCTGTGTAATCTTTGGTATTGTTGTGTTAGAGGGCTTCTAGCTGTCACACCTCTTAGACAGCAGCCATTGTGGGGAGGGGGCTGAAACCAGTGTTCTTCTGAAAGGGTGACAGAAATCTCACATGCACACATGGAAAATAGCTATACGAAGGAGATCTTGTGGGGGATATGGACATCATTCCATTCTGGAGAGGACCAAAGAGGTTTGACAGCATCCGGTACCATG